TCAAATGAAACAGGGTGACAGTTATTTTCAAATTAAGAGAAGAGCTGAGAATAGGCAGCTCTAAAATACTGGATGTCAAAGACCTGCCAAAATGGCAGAGCGGCACCAATGAATGTATAAATGAGGCCTTAAGCCTAGTTATATGGTAAATAGTATCTGCGGGTTCTTGATTACAAGGCTAGACCAAGTTAATTAATGCCGAATGATTATTATTTATTATTATTATTCATTATTATGTTATTAAAACCTACCTTAGGAACTTAGACAATGGAGAAATTAGAGAACAAAAAAAAACAAAAAAACACGACGTTAAGGGGAAATAGCACAAAAGATATTCCCATGGGCTAGTTATTAATTATAGGCATAGTAAATAGGTTCTTGATTACAAGGCTTAGGCCAACGTAATAATGCTGAAATGATTATATTATTATTATTATTATTATTATTATTATTATTATTATTAATATTATTATTATTATTATTGTTATTTTTATTATTTAACATTAATTACATTACAAGGATAGTTTCATCCGGAATGGTATATTATTTATTTAATAATATTTCTCTTATGCACTCTATTTTTTATTTCATGCTTCAATTTTTCCCCTTTTTTCAAAATTTCAATCAACGTCATGTGAAGCGTGACTGTTGGTGTCAGCCTAGGACCCTAGCCTAGGAAGGCCTATGGTAGGTAGGACTTAACTCAGCCTGCTTTAGGCCTGTAGTTTATCTAATTCTTTCTGTCAGCCTTTGGTGTACCTATCTACACTTTATAAAGGAGGGGTACTAGCTATTGTTGTTGTAGATATTATACTAACATTTAATAACATACAATAAGTTCACAGTTAGTTACACACGTACATCCCATAAATCCGTAAGATTTCATAGGCCTACCGTAGGTAAACATAGAAAAAGTAAAACTCGAGCGTCACGACATTGCGAAGTGTCTGCTCTTTCTTGTTCCTCGTGTCGAACTCGAGTCGAGTCAATCCGAGATGGCACGAATAAAGTTTCATGCAAATGTTTCGTACGGAAAAAAAAATCGCCAGCGGTCTGCATTCGATTTGACTCACTCTTTTACAAGTCTCTAATTCTCATCAAAAAAGTTTCTCAACATAAACTGACGCTGGTGGCGCTTTCCGAAATGCGCTAATGTACTACGAAAAATCCATAAATTAGAGACTTGTGGCAAGTCTAGCGCTGCCCCTGTGTATCGATATCGACAGCCGATAAGATTCCAGAGACTGCGATGCGACGGTGCACCGTGCGATGGATCGTATTTCAACGACAATCTGCATACGCACCCATTGCAAACCGTAGGCCATACGGGCCTGGGTTTTAAGGAACTAATTAATGAACATGGCACTGTTTTTTAAAGCTCGATTCACCTGTTTTATTTGTTTCTTCTTAATTTTGTTTCTTCCTAATTTCCATGCCAGTGAGTTTTATCAGCTTTAGGATGAGGCGCAGGAGTCTGAGATGATGAACGAAAATCAACAAGTGCTGACCAGAAGCTTCGAGGACGTGTCCATATCTTTTGAAATATTCAATCACTCAATTCAAATATATATTATGTCACAGCCATCCTACAATGTTATACAAACTTAGTAATTATTTATTTTCATTAAATGTTTGTTTATTCTCATTTAATTAGGTGTTGCCGCGCTGCACGTCTCTAGAGACCCATCACAAACACCAAGAGAGGTCACAGCTAGCATACTTAGCGAAGCATCAAGAGATCAAATTTTTGACCCCATGGGATCCCCAAATCTTCTTCTATACACTCGGGATCGCTAAAAATGTAAGTAGAATTTTTATTATTCTTATTATTATCAATAATCTAAACAATTTTTGTCAACTTATTATTTGTTTTCATCATAAGCTGAGAGATGAAAACATGTTATATGATTTGTTACATGATTTATTATTATTATTATTATTATTATTATTATTATTATTGTTGTTGTTGTTATTATTATTATTAGGCCTATTATAATTATTGTTACTATTATCAATTGTTTAATTTTTTTTCAGAAGGATGCGGGCATTACATTGGCCTATACCACGTACATATCAGCACTGGAAGTAGGCCTAACCTGGCCTGACAGAGAGGCATCATAGAGAGTTTATCTGCCGCTATGAATGACCAATGTACCTTTTAATGAAACACACAAATATCCCGGATTAAATAATAATGAATTACAGTATATATAAACCATAGTGAGTGCACTATGACATCTTTTTAAATATGACTAAAGAACACTTTAAATAATGGAGTCAAATTGATCAGAGAAAACTGAAATTTAATACCCTTTAATTATTATTAAAAAGCTTATAAAATAATAAGAGTTTGTGATTGAAAATTGCAATAAAACATGAAGAAAGTATCTTGGCGTATTAACAGTTCTTAGTTCTTAAATGAGAAATATCATCTGCTGACGTCGCAAAATCATTGAGTGATATTATAAAACACGGCCCACATCAAAGATTTTATAATAACAAGATATCGTTCTCCGCGATTTCTGCGTGCAAATTCTGCAATAACGCGGTGTAGGACGCCCTCTTGCAATTACAATTACTTTTGAACTTTGACATCTATTATCTCCCTGCAAATTCTTGAACAACCGCCATATTAACAACTAGGACGCCTTTTCTCAATTACAATTACTTTCTATTACTTTCTGCGTGAATTGAACGCTTATTTTTTACACGCAAACCGCTTCAGTATAAGTTTAGTTGAGTTTAGTCAGAGTTTTGTGACACTCAAAGATTATTAATCCACCCGGAGTACATTTTTCCCCATAGAATCCAGTCAGATCAAATCTGTGCATGCATGTTGATATTTTTTTTCAATTGTAATGTTTTTTTATTTAATGGTTTACATGAAGATATGACTAAAAGCAATGAGCCACTATACTTACAATATCGAGACTGCTTTTGTGGACGCGCGCCCGTTCTGGAGTTTGGTTTATTATGTTTATTATTCGGAAATCGAGGGCGCTATATCAGTTTATAAAAAGCTAGATCTATGTTTTATAGGCCTCTTAGTAATTTACGTATTCGGAATCCTTTTATTGTACGTCCAAAATCACATTGGAAATACACAACAGAAAAAAACCCCAAAAACAAAAGAACAAATTGTAAAATCGAATACAAATCAGTGCTAACATATACTTCTCTATTTTATAGAAAAACACACTGCTGAATAACGATAGTGATAATGATAATGTTATTTTTCGATGTGTTTGCGTCAGGAAAATATCATAGGCCTAGGCCTAACTGTGGTGTTTTGTGCCCTACCTGACGTGTTATTGTACTAACACTCAGTACGTTTCTAAATACTTGCGAAAAAAAATTGCAAGTTATTCTGGTGGGAAACGAACCCACTGACTCCAGATAACTCCCGGTGTCACCAGTACTAGGCCACCGAGCTTGCGCTTATATTAGTAACTAGTGTTGAATCCGATCCTCGAGTAGCAGCGGATCAGGTATGGTAAAAAAACATCACTCGTATGATATTTTCTGACGCAGACACATCGAAAGAATAGGCTCCAAGCGGTAGCGTGTATCTACTGCTTTTTTACATGTGTGTAGTTTTAAGTGACTTTTAAAGTGACCTTTAATGAACTTTCAAGGACAGGTCTTAATATGTAGCATTGTGTTTGGTAATTCAATTCGTTGATAACTTTAATGTAGGACAGGTCTTAGTATGGCATCATATTTCGCAGACTTGCTTCTTTTTTTTTTTTAGCTCAGGGCTCATCCCATCATTCTTCTATAATGATGATGATCATAATAATGATGATGTGATAAAATATACAATGAGTAATAGTACTTTATTTAGTCTCACCTTTGTGTTTTAGCATAAGTAAAGAAACAAGAAAACAAGAGACATTACTCAATGGTTACAGTAGTCTTATATAACGTTTTCTACGTCATGTAGCGGTGGATCTATTCACCTTCACGGTGAATTCGACGCTAGTCCCTAAGTGCAAGTTCAGTGGTCTAATGGATGACACCAGGCTAGTTATCTGGAGGTCGTGGGTTCGATTCCCACGCGAATCATTTGCGATTTGTTCGCAAGTATTTTGGAACATATTGAGTATTTACGATAACTCGTCAGGTAGGCAAAAACGTCAATCACGATGTTATAGATAATGACAATGATGATGGGGATGATAATTATACAAATAATGATGATAATGATCATAATAATGATGATGTGATAAAATATACAATGAGTAATAGTACTTTATATAGTCTCACCTTTGTGTTTTAGCATAAGTAAAGAAACAAGAGACATTACTCAATGGTTACAGTAGTCTTATATAACGTTTTCTACGTCATGTAGCGGTGGATCTATTCACCTTCACGGTGAATAAGGGTGATTAAGAAGGAAAACATTGAAGTGATGGGCAATTACTGTAATACATCCACTATGAAAGAAATTTCAGGTCTAAAGCTTTACAGTTAAAATACAAATAGACAGAAAATTTAGAAGATTTAGTATCTGAACAAGTTCTCGTAATTTCGAAAGCTCCGATAAGGGCAGTATAATACTCCACCTTTCAAAACAGATTTCGCCCTTCCTGGGTGTGACATTAAACTCCATTTAATGGACATCTAGCTGAGAGTATGTCTTGTGACTGCTGACAGATGAGGCGAGAGTGCATAATTTTTTTTAGGATGTGATCTTGTTTTACATGCCTATTTTTCGTGATTATGACTATTTTGAATAACGAATGTTTTGAGCAGTGGTGGATTCAAGGCCTCCTCCCCCTAATTTTATTTAATGGAAACAAAGAAAAATATAGGGTCCCTATTAAAATTTAAGTCTGAGAGTGTAATTTCAGGCCATCTAGAGGTTTCATTATTTCAGCCCCAACCGTGGTGGGGCTGAGGTGGGTGGTTCCTCAATCTGTAAAAGTCCCTCCCTGGGTCACCTCTCTTTTGAATTCCCGGATCCACCACTGTTGCGTTTTATATACGGTAATTATTGTTAGGCTTACTAGTATTATTTATGATGCGTTTATTGCAATTTTCACTTTATCTCAAAACAGTCCTAAAATCATTCAGAGCGCGCTAATTTGCAGGGGCCTTCGCCCTGGACCACCCCCGGGTCTTACGTCCTCGCATAACCCCCCCCCCTTTCAAAATCCTGGCTACGTCCCTGATAGGCAGTAGATCTAAAAAGGTCTATATATTATAATCAATAAGCCGAGTTTTTCTAGAACTCCTCATCGGAGCTAAAAATCTATGCGAATAACGAGCATGTGTAGCGTCTAAAAAATAAAATCAATGAGAATAACATAGTATAAGGTCTGTTCGTCTTACTGTGCATTAGAACTATATTCAATTCAATTTGATATAAATTTATTGCAAAACAAATAGAAGTTTTAAAATGTATAATTCAGATAAAATGACATAAAAAACGTCAATAGTAAAAACAGTAAAATCTTTAAAATACGATTCTACGATACTAAAGATGAATATGACAGAACTACATAAACACAATAAAGAGCAAAAGATACCACGTAAAAGATAAAACCCAGCTTGATGTACGCTACACATTCAAACAACTAAAACACATCTTTTTAATTTTATATTTTTACATTTAACGTGTCCACTTGCATGAAGAAATGTAATAGACGTGCTTTGGCCCTTTTCAGATCGGGTTGTGCACCCATTGCCATAGAAACCGGGCGTTATAACAATACTCCAGTTAATGAGAGGAAATGTAATCTGTGTAATCTGGATTATAT